AATATGACCAGAATGACCAGTTGACAAGTTGCTATGAGAGGGAAGGAGGAGGGGGGCAGGTGGGAACCGCATGGTGATGGGGCACCAAAGTGGCATCGGCGTCCATTCCTTCTGCGCCCGGCCCAGCTACTGTCCTCCTCTCCAATATATATAAAAGCCTAAGCTACTGTTACGACCGAACAACTGGAATGACCAGAATGACCAGTTGACAAGTTGCTATGAGAGGGAAGGAGGAGGGGGGCAGGTGGGAACCGCATGGTGATGGGGCACCAAAGTGGCATCGGCGTCCATTCCTTCTGCGCCCGGCCCAGCTACTGTTGCCTCCTCTCCCAACTTTCGGGCCCTGATTGGCCTGGCCCTGATTGCTGGCCAGGCCTAGAGACCCAACCTGTGCATGAATTTTGTGCACCGGGCCTCTAGTAATGATAATAATTAACATTCATTGAGCATATAGAGTATGCCAGGCAGGCGTTATTCTGATAAACCTCACAAGTCCTCACAATGAACCAGACCATTGCAGCCTTCTGCTCCCCTTCCTGCACCCCAAAGTTTGTTCCCCATGCCACGCCAGAGGGAGTCAATAAACACTGGCGTTAGATCAGGGTCCTCCTGGCTCAGAGCCTCCTCTGGTCTCTAATTGTCCCTGGCTGACTCTGTTGCAGCCACCTTGAGAGGTCTGAGGTGCCAGCAGGGCCTGCTGGGCCTGTTCTCACCATGTTCACTCCAGACCTGGTGGTGGGGAGGTGGTCCTTTAGCGATAGGATTCAGCCAGGCCTGGGCAATGGCAGCCATTAGCAGTGTTAAACAAAAAGCTTTCACGGTCAAAAGCTTTTCTGAATGAAAGGTTTTGCTGAGCCAAATGCTAGCCAAAAAATGGACCAGGTCCTGGGGCATGCAATCTAAACCACCAGCAGCAGGGTGAGAAGGAGACGACATGTTGGCCATCAGGAATTTTTATACAATGAGTTTGGATTTTAAAAAAAGTTAAGTTGTTTTTAGAGAATTTACATTGGTCACAGGTAAAGAGGTTGGGGGAAGTTGAGGCACAGCTAGTTCTGGGATGGGTGCATTGTCCATAAGAAAGAAATATTTGCTCCTTTGGATTGGTTGTGGACAACAGTTCAAAAAGTTCATTTATAATAATAAAAGAGTAATATGCTAATTAGACCGGACATCCTTCCGGACAAAGCCTCAGCAGAGGCCCTTGGGCGGGGGTTGCAGCAGAGGCGGCAGAGGCCCCCCAGCCGCAACGGCAGTGGGCAGAGGCAGAGGCG